ATCATTAGATGGCTATATACTCCATGAGCTCTTATCTCAGCCAACACTTAAGCAATACAAACAAAGCAGATCCACAGAGCCAGCCAACAGCCCATTCAAACAGTTCCATGATTAAATCTTGTTAAAGAGAAAAATAGTACAAACTGATCTAATAGATTAAGAATCAATCAATAAACCTCCATCTGTTTTAAATCCTGACTGCACCACCTCAATGGAAACATCACAGGGCTGTGCTAGAAGCTGTCATCAATTAAAATGACAGGACTCTTCTCAATTCTGTTCAATCTAAACCCCTAATCTAAACTTCTGTGCTTTGAAGGCTCTCCCCTGTGCACACACACAGAGGCTTGTGCCAAATGGGCAGCTATTTACCAAACTCCTGTCCAGCCCTCCAAGATCCACAGGTGAGTGGAAATGGCTCTTTATTACCCCTGAGGTTCTAGTTTAGTTCACAAACTGACATAGCACATTAACAATTTCAGACTCCTCATAAAAGATGTTTCTATCTTTTCGTATCATACAATGTTTGACATCTTCATGCTGGGGTGAGATACACAGGTTCAATTCCCATACTCCACCCAAGAGACTCAAACTTTACAGCTCACAAAAGTTTCACTTCATTATATTGGCTTTTCACCCTAAAATTCATGAAGCGGAGAAGTAATACTTCAGAACCCCCTCTTTCCTCCACCAGGTGTCTAGCTTAAATAGTCAATTATTTTTTCTTCTGGCCCTGTGAAGTTTGTACTCTCTGCAGCACTTCGTCATAGTTCCCACACAAGCAAGACTACCCCATACAGTTTGGCTTATGGCCCTACGGACAATTAACTTTGTGTCTAGGGGATGAAGGTTTCAGTTCCTTTAGGAAAGGGTTTGGAAAGGAATGGAATCTGGGCTCCCATGTTTTGGCCAATACATGAGGGCAGGCAGTAGGACCTCCTGCCCCTCTTGAGGTCATACTTCAAGAGAAATGGATGCTGCACCTTCTCTCACCAGAGCATAACCAAGCTCAGGATCACAACTGCCTGTTTCCTAGTAGCTGCATCTAGGTAGCTCGTTACTCAGACTTAAAAGGCTTTTCTGCCTGAGTCAGCCTTCTGAAGAGCACAGTATGCAGAGACAGATGGCGAACTCAAAGCCACAAACTGGACTTTTGGGGCTGGATGCCTGTTTGTCTTCCTTTAAATGGATCTGGATCCAAGTTGCAACCCACATTCGCCAGAGAGAGAAAGAGAGAGAGAGAGAGAGAGAGAGAAAAGTGTGACATTAAGTTTCTTGCTCGCTGTTACGCTTGAGTGCCCTCCTTCCACTCAAAAATCAAGAAGCTTAGAGAGCTACTGCACAGGTATCAGCAAGCTGAACTATGACTATCAAACCAGTAAGAGTGATTTGCAACATACCTGATATTCAGTGTAATTAGGAGCTGAAGCACCCATTAGCAATCAGAAAATGGACAAATTAGTTTGTACCTAGACAGGCTAAAAGTGTTACCATTTAAATACCACCATCTAATGTTTTGGGGTTTTTCCCCCAACCTTGTCCATAGGGCTAACATTCTCCCTCTCTTCTCCTTACTGCGGGACTGCCAATTTATACATAGAGATTCAGAGGTGTCTTGTTTAGCCAGGGACTTGGTATGCAAGTCCAGTGCTTTCATTTAGCCCAACAACTCAAAGGCAACAGCATCTGGCTTCCAGTTCAATCTTGATCTAGGTGATATCTACCTTTTCTTCCCCTCTCACAGAGAATATTCAGTTTCGTTTTCCTACATTCTTTTACTCATTTAAATGCTTGCTGTCTTCATCCAGGAAGCAACAGAGTTTCTAAAGAACAGTAGAATTTGTAGAGCTGAGATATTTCATGCAGCTCAATCCACAGTGAACGAATTTCCATTGGTTTTCAGGTGAAACACCATTTATTTTAAAGTACCACACACAATGTGAATGCTCCCAGTAAATCAGACTTTACAGGTTCACTTGCTATTTGTGTTCCCGCAACACATTAGTTGAACTAATTAATGTGTCTTATAGCAAGTACTTTGTTTTGGCATGGCCAGTTGCCTTCCAATTGCATTTGGGCTGTAAATTCTCAAGGACAAGGGTTTTCTCCCTGTCAAAACCATGCCATTTAAAGCAGTGGAGAAGTGGCAGAAAGATGGAAACAGAAGAAGGAATCTTGACTTTTTTTTTTTTTTTAAACTTTTGAATGTCATGGTAAGCAAGGTTTTGGGATAAGTTTTCAGCAAAGCACGTAAATTACCACTGGAAATTATTTCCTCCCAAGTAAGACAAGCCAAGAACACTCCCACACCAGCCTGCCTCCATCTGAAGTCTGATTTGCAGCATCTCAGTTCCTTAGGGAAAGCAAGGTGAGTTTTTACACCTATTACTGGATGTCTAATTCAGTAGGTCATTGCCACTTCCAATCCAGAATATTCACCTTACAATACTCTCACTGAAATCTGTGACAAAAAAAAAACCCACGAACTGGAGCAGTTTAGTTTTTTTAAAAATTTGAATAGTATTCCGAAGATGGAGAAGAAAGTTTGTAACATCCCTTTTGCAAGAATTTAGGAGATTTTTTTTTTTTTTTTACAAATCTAAACAGTCCTATGATCTCTCCCTCCTCACTGCTAGAACTGTGCTGCCCTCTGCCCATTTTCCACTCAGTGTGCCACGCAATCTTTTAGATCTGCAAAGCTGTGTTTGTTCTGCAGGTGACACATGCGTGCAGTTCTCAGATTCTTGCATGCATTGTCTCAAATCCCCTGCAGTAGAAACCACTAGTTCTGCAGTTTTTATTATTTTACCCAAACCTACTAAAAGAAAAAAAACACATGCACTCATTTGCTGTGATTGCTACAAGTGCTTCTTAAATAATTTCTGATATGACTGCCCACTAAAGAAAAATGAAAAATAAATACAAAACCCAAAAATAAATACAAAATCCAAACATAATATACAGAAAATACAAACTACAGAAATAACCGTTTCTTAGTTAGTGAGCCTTCTCTAGCCTTCAATAGTCTTCTCTGAAATGTAACATGAAGTTATATGAACATTATTACAAGTAACCTTGCAGTGGTCACAAAGGAAAAGGAAGTGTATTTCAGTTTCATGATTTAAGGGTGTGTACGTGCACAAGGATGAGGAGAACAAGAACAGATGGAGTTACTTACTGAACGGTAGGACTGTATGAGAGAAAGCAAAGACAAGGACCACCACCACAGGAGCAGTCTGAAGGCAGTGAAGGAGGTGAAATGCCAGTAGATGGCACTCAAATCTGCAGCACAACCCCAGCCTGCAAGCGGCTGTCTGCAAACTAAGGGCAGAGATCCCAGCAAACAGACAGAAGGTTTGGGGGACTGGAAGACTTCATGGTGTCTGAGGTGCTGTACCACAGCACACAAGGCAGCCAGGCCGCAGAAGACCAAGAGAGCTCAGGGTGGCATCCAGGTAGCTGGCCGAGCCACGGTGATCTGCTCACTGGCACGCAACAAGGGTAGATATATTTTCCACTACAACTTAGACATCTTTCACTCCCTGGCCACTTCCCACCTCACCCCATAACTAGCCTCAAAACTATGGGGAGAAATAAGGAGTCTAGCTTCATAACAGATCTTAAATCAGCATATCAGAGCAGGCTACGGAAGGCAGCACTATCACCTCTCTCAACAAGAGCTTAGAGACAAGTCAGAAGGCAGGGCAATTATTCTACTGAACTTTGTTCTGAAAATTAAGGGGCTCCCTTCAGTCTAACCCCCACATCCACAGAAGCCAGTGGTGGGCCACTCGGACAAAGTGCTTAGACTTGTAACCACTGAAAATCAAGGTGTGTACTCTTCTGTCCCAGAAGCTGTCCTGCATGCATACATCCCTGTGCAGTTAATGTTTCCTCCTTACTGCCTGCCGAGTTCACAGAATACCTTAAGAGACAGGAGGAAACCTACTATTAAAACTAAGTTACTTAGTGCCTTTTAAAACATACTGTTTCTATTAGTAAGCATCAAAACCAAAATAACTGAGCCATTAATCCTTAATAAAACTTTTTTTTTGTAAATACATATCTCTGTTCCCTGGCTGCTCACAGCTACTAATACCAAAACTTTCCTAACCTTTCCTTTTCTAGTGCAGATGCTCTTGACACTTCTGGGCTGAATCCAGAACTCCTTTAAGCTGGATCAACAAGATCCATGAATATTCAGGCACTAAGGAATTTGGGCAGATATCCAAGAAGTGGCAGGACCCAGCTGATGAATCTAAGGGTCTCCCAGATTTTTAGTGCCGAAAACACAACTATCCAGATAGCTTTATGCTCTAATGTGAGCACATTAAAGCCTACGAAAGAAAGAAATTCTGTTCTGTTGATAAAAAACATGTTTTAGCCTTTTCCTCCTCATGCAGTCAGTTCCAATGCTGCTCCTCACAGAGCTGCACATGCTATCACTCAGCAGCTTTGGATGAGAACTTGCTTTTGCTCTGCCCTTCCCCTCCTCATGAGTAGTAAGGTATGGGGACAGAGCTGACACAGGGTTATTTTCTGAAGGGCTCAGGTCACAGATGGCATTTGTTCTCACTGTCACAGCTCCAAGACCAGGTATGAGAGCTGCAGATCCAGGGACTGGCGTGGGAGGGAAGCAGAAGAGGAGGGACATGAGGAAGTCGAGCTGCAGCCAAGCCACTTTGCTTCTGTTCCAAGCTCCCAGGGAAGCTTCATCCTCAGCCCTTTGGCACACACTTCTCTGACCCAAGAGCTTCTCCAGCAGCAACTGCCAAACCTGCAGTTACCCTCTTGGATAAGAAAATTCCTCAACCCTTTTTTCTGCCAGTTCCTGGAAGAGTCTGCACCAGAGACAGACACTTGGAAGAATCATCTGAAGAAAATTGCTCCCCCAAGGAAAGACACAGAGCGTTGGAAACTCAAGCACTGAGCCTTTAGCCACCACTAACAAACACGGACCTGGCCGAAAGCAGTCAGGGCTACAGCCCCTGCCTTCAAAGCAGCTTAGCCCCATGGAGGAGCAGGAAGACAATTATGTGCTTTCCCTCGGAGCCAACACCAGCAAGTGCAGCCTTGAGACTAACCAAACACAGATCCCAACATACTGGTCAGAAGCAATCAGGGGTGGCCCAAAGGTGGTGATTGTACCAGTGCTTTTTGGGTTGATTTTTCTACTGGGAATGGTGGGAAACACATTGGTTTTGGTTGTCCTGGGGCATCCCCATCCTAGTGGACGCCCATCACGCACCACTACCAACATCTTCATCCTGAACTTGAGCATTGCTGACTTCTCCTTTCTGCTCTTCTGCATCCCCTTCCAGGCCACCATCTACTCCCTGCCAGAGTGGATCTTCGGTGCCTTCTTTTGCAAGTGGGTTCACTACTTGGCCATGGCAACAGTGCTGGTCAGCATCTTTACTCTGGTGGCTATGTCTGTGGATAGATACATTTCTGTGGTCCATGCCAAGCGTTCACTCGGCATCCGCAGCAACCGCAACGCTGCTCTCAGCGTGGGCATCATTTGGCTGCTGTCTCTACTCATTGCCATCCCTGTGGCTCAGCACCAGGCCCTCATGAGTGGTTATCAGCACGCACCCAACAGCTCCTTCTGCTGGGAGCACTGGGCAGATGGTTCAACAGCCAAGCAGATGTACAAGATTACCACCCTGCTGGTGGGATACCTCCTGCCCCTGGTTCTCATCACCTGCTGCTATGCCAAGGTGGGTGAGAGGGACGCTTGTAATGTTTAAATGGAGGGAAAGATCACTCCCAGACTCTTGGTGGCTTGGATGTGTACACTCCAACTACCCAGCCAACAAATAATAGATCCAATCCTTTTGATATTCTCTCTTGGTATAGAATACTTCTCTAGGTAGGGAGAGGGAAGGAAAATAGAGAATAACAGCAGCTCACGAAAAGGATTACAACTGCCAAGTTGACACCCAAATCCCCTATAGGCTCTTGCTGTTTTTCAGTTTGTCCTTTCTTGATAATAAATGTTTGTTGCTCGCAAGAAAAACCCATGGAAGGAGAAAACATGCAGAGTGTACAGAAACAGTAAAGACATCACCTCAATTTCTTTCCTTTTTTTTTTTAACCACAAAGCTCAGACACTGTGTCTTGCAAAGACTTGCAGGAAAAGATCTTAGGATCAGAGTTTTATTCAGCAATTAATCTCTTCCTTTCTTATGGATAGCTAGCACTTAAATTTTTGGTTTCCCCTTACTCATCTTTAGCATATTTAAGACTGATAGTATGTTTACGAGTTGCGCTAACATGCGGAATAAGTTTTTCTGTGAATTTTGAATTAATACCCTACCGTGCAGGGACTGTCAGGGACTGGGCTTCCTTGTCAGTTGTCAGTTGCAGGTCTACCCTCTTGGAAAAAAAAAAATTGTTTTCCTCGAATATAAGTTCCCTTTTAATCAAAAAATACTTTACTTTCAATACTAATCTGTTCTGCTATCATCAGTGATAAAGACAGGACAATGCACTTAGATTTAACCTAAAAATCTCTAAACCTCAGGCCTTGCTTGTCACAAGAGAAAAAACCTCTTAATTCCTGTCACTGTAGCTCCAGCTGTTTGTCCCACTCACTGCCCTAGGTGAGACAGCAGCGACTGAAAGGTGAGCTGCATTTAATAGAGGCATTTTTTTTCATTCATTAATTGCTTTAGAAAATTTAGTCTCTTCACTCCAAAGGCCTAAGTATAAATATTGCCAAGTTACTGCCATACTACAATCAGGTTTCAAAAGCTTGATCTAGATGTTGTTAACTGAGAATTTCTCTACAGTGCTCTAACATTTCTTACAACTCTTCCTCTAAAAGGAGACCCCAGTCTGACTGCCCCATTTGTTAGAGCTGCATTCAGGAGTGGCACAACAGTCACACCAGGGTACAGTACTGGCAGTCTGCTCTCTGCCTGTGTATATAATAAACCTAGAGAATAAATGCAGATAATCTAAGGCACAATCTAAAATTCAAAATCCATGGAATGACTCCTATGGATTTCAGCACAGTGCCAGCAGAGCTCTTAATATATGCTGAACTACATCTTCTGGAAGCATAGCAGTTTTAATGCTTTTTCCAAACCTTGTTTCTTGAAGGAGGAAAAACTGTGGAGGGCTTAGAATTAAAAGTCTCAAAGCATCAAATTCAACTTTGGTTGAAGTCAAGCTAAAACAATTATTTTAATTTTTGCTGCTTGTATGAGAAGTTCAGATACTAATATAAACAATTCAGTTTCCCATTCAATATATTGTTCCTTCCCCCTCCCAAGGTTTTATGCCATCTGCATACAAAAGTAGAGAACATTTCCAAGAAGTCAGAGAGATCAAAGAAGGTAAAAATCTGTGGTTTAATGTGTACACTGACTGTAACATAACAGATATGTCAGGTTTCTAAAATAACTAATAGCCTTTTCAAGCTCCATCTGCATACTGAAGTGTCATTCACATACCAGTCTTTCAGCTCAGGTTCAGAGTTCATGTTGACAATTTGTTATATCATTACAGACACAGTACATAATGATGCTATTATTGAAATGCTATATTGATCTCTATATGGAGGCCTGCTGGACTGCCTTTCAGTTTATTGTGCTGTTATAGAATCCCACAAATACTATTTGTCTACATTGGCAATCAGAAAGATACTTGGACTACAAAAATATCTAGGTGTTTTGAGTACACCTCAGCAAGCTGAAAAGAAAATACATAAAGAACCCTGAAGCTGAAGTACTCCAGTTTTGCTGCAGTTTGTGTTTAAGATCTTTCTTATGGTTTGCATTGAAGTAGGTGGGGGATTCAGGTCCTGGTTTGATCCCTTTGCAAGCTGTATGAAATAAGCAGAATTGCAAGTGTTTACTGAGAAAAATGTTAGGGATAGAAATTTTTTTTCTGTAACAATCTTAGAGTGAATAAGTCTCAAGTACCAAAACTCACTGAATTCAGTGATGCAATGTCAGATTTACCTGACCTGAAAGAGAAAAATGCTATTTCGGTCAGAAATATTATAATTGTTGAGTGTGCAGTGATGAGTGAAACTGCAGGCTATCTGGCTAGTCAAAGACAGGAAGTAATGCAGTACTGTCATTAGCTGCTGGCAGGACAGTCAGGTCACAGTCCGTGCCAGTAGCACAGCAACCATACAACCCAAAGGAGCAGTGTGTGCACCTCCAAGCAGATGTGATAGCCAGTGGAGATGACTAGGGAATGCTTTGGTTTGCTCTCAGCCAGTGCACTGGCCTGTTTCAGCAGCAACCTGCCACATTAGAGCAGCCCTACAAGACATTGCCATGATGCTATGACAAAAATGAGGGTCATAACAAACGTGGCCATTTGATTGAAAAGGGTGCAAGACAGAAATCAAAGCTTTGACATGACTCCAGCAAACAAAGACAGACACTGGTACCACAGCTGCAACAAGCTACAGATGTTTTGAAACGTGGAACCACTTCTGGGCATGACAAGTTGCATCCAGTGATTTATTCACTAGCATTACAGGACAGCCCTGTAAACCTAGGTCACTCACAAGATGAGTAATCCAAGATACTAGATTTTCAGCATGCCGCAATTATACCTCATAATAACCTGAACCGGTACCTCTATTGACTGCTCTTTTGACAAAGAGACTTACTGTAATGGGGACAAAAGGTAATCCCTAAATACAACATAGCCATCTGTTCCTTATCTCAGAAACAAACTAATCTTAGTAGGTTAATGTTCTGTACGCAGCTAAGGTATCACAGAAAGAGGTACAGTTGTCGTCAATGTAGATGACTTCACGATCTACCTATTCAGGAAAAAGCAGAAGTACTTTCTGAGGTTAACTGTGCACTTTAGTAGCTATAATAGCATCTCAAACAAAACTTACGGGATTTTAATACAGAAATAATATCTTTCAGGTGTATCCTCTGCGATATTGTGCTACAATTTCAATAGTCTGGTCTGTGCTGCTTTTAGCTGGTTTAGAGCTGTTAGAGATTTTGCCAGTTCTTTATGCCTATGAATCCTAACCAGACTTAATTACAGATTATAATTAGTTTCAACTGGTTCATTGCATTCACTAACATACAGTCAATTTTGTTGCTAACATACTTATGAATATCAACCCATAGCTGGTCTTGCACCTGCACTGCCTGTAAGGATAGTACTCGACTGGTATTTGCAATATTATCTCACAATACAAGACAACTATAGCAGTTATACCACACACAACATTTCCTTGATGGGAGCTACTTCTGCTTTCCCCTTCGAGTGTTTTTGATAATGTTTTGTGTGTTCAATTGCTGAGTCCACAGAATGAGCATAAAGCCTCACAAATACCACTTTGTTCATCTTCTTCTTCCTGAACCTTATTGAGATTAATGTTATTAGTCCAGCTAGTCTAATTCCAAGCAGGTTCTGATAAACATTCTTTTAATCACTTTTTCTAAGGCAATAAATTATGCAAGAATTAGCTGCTATGTATTGCCTGCTGCAGGAACACCACCAGACCTAAATGAAACAGACTACATTGAAGAACACCATGTCTTATTTTGCCTGCTGACTTCCCCATGAACACTGATGCTGCCACAGATATACTGTCGATTAAAATATGAGAACCAAGAGCATCATTTCTGGGCAGATAGTGCAGACTAGCAGAAAGCACAGTCAGAGTCTTGCATGCTTAACAACTACCAGCAGAAAAGGCAACCAAGATCTGTTGATAATTTTTCTTATGTAAAATACAGCAACTAAAGTGCTAAGAAGCACTGTCATTTTGCATAAAGTAATTTCGTGACTTTACAAGTCTGAAAAGTTGCTTTAGGTCTCAAAGTCACCAACAAATCCTGAAACAGTTTGGTTGGCTTAAATTCCCCTCCTGTCTTTCCTTACCTCTATATGAATGGCACACTACCCATTTCTTCGCTATATTTTAAGAAAATGTTAACAACAGTTGAAAATAACTACTGTCATTACTGCAGCAATGTCTGTAAAGCAGTAAGTTACAGAATTTCATTTACAACACTCATTTTTTTCAGATGTATCCATTTGCATTGTTTTCATATTTGACCTGTAGAGCTAGATGAAAAAACAGTTCTACACTTTCTTCAACTTTGGGTTTCCTGATTAGATATGGCTGAGAGAACCAATCTTAAAAAAAATACCTTTGACATCACCTGTTCAAAAAAGTTAATGGTACAGCACTTCTTTCGCCCTCCCTCCCCTTAAGTATTTCCCTGGCCATAATTCTGGCATGCCTGGTAGCAATTCCTGTTCCATTTAGCACAGTTAGGCCTAATTAAATAGGCAGTCCTTTCAGATGAAAGAAAAAAAAAATCAAATACATTCCTCTCTACACACACACACCATCTTCCACAATTTGTCTCCTTCCAGGACTTTCTGTGTAGAAATTGGTCATCTACACTTTCTGCAGGCCAAACAGCATCTTTAGTCTACCTATTTCAATTATTTCTTGCTTCAACCTCTTCTCTTAGCAGTTTATAAGGAGTCTTTCTTGAGTAGGTTGCAGACATACTCAATTCCTGCATACAATTTCACAGTATACTTGAAACACATTGAGTATCAGTCATTTAAAGCAGATCTTCTAAAGAACACTTCACATTAGAGCCTAATAGGAAATTCATATGTGCATATCATTTCTGTTAAATTAGCTTCCTTCATATGTACTTAATTGGACAATTAATGACAAGTAGTTTTGCTTGGTTTTAATTCATAAACTTCATGAGAGACTAAGTGAACAGCTTTTTCTTATTTTGCTCAAAGATGTTTGACAAATGAATCTTGCTCCTGAAAGGTTAATTTAGCATATACAGGACATCTAGCTTGTTCTGAAATACATGTGTGACTTCAGTGGCTCAACCCCAATTGCTTTGATCTATCAAAATAAAAACAACAGCAAAGTCTTCCAATGAGGTGACAAAATTACCCGATTCACATCTGATAATTCATAGTGTGTATCTTGAGCACACTGATACGGAAAATGAAGCATCATACTGGTACAAAAGAGTACAGTTGGGAGCTATGACCACTCAGTTCCTACTTCTTTCCTATAATTTCAAGAAAGCAGGACACCTGAGCTATTATCCTCCTCTCTCCCCCAGGGGAAGAGGTTTGGTCTGTTGGGATTTTTTCGTGTGTGTGGTTGGCTTGTGGGTTTGGGGTTGTTTTGGTTTTGACAGATAAGTAGGAAATTTTGCAAACAGCTATTTGTTCAGATCTCACTACATTCATCTGGGCTACATATGTGAGTAAAGGTCTCAAAAGAATCAAGTTGCAGACTTGGAGACCTTGTTGAACAAGATTTTCCAGTGAATTGATTTTGCCATTCAGAATTCCAGAAACTTTGATATCTCTTCAGCTTTGTGCTGTACACACTCCTCAAGATAGAACACTTTGAAGACAAAACATAGTTAAGAAACAAAGCAAATGCCATCGAGCTTAGGGAAGGGACTTCTCACAAACAGCATTACACATGCTGGCTGAAAACATGTTGCTATTATTCTCCATTATAGGCTGCTTCTAAAAAAGCCAGTAATACAGAATAAGACATTTTAAAATGTCATGATTTATTTCTGGATCTTTCACTGACCTTGTTGGAGCCTTAGTATACCACCATTCCCTCCACCCCCAAATCCTGTAAAGACTGATAAAATGCAGAAGATACATCATCCTAATTCACATAGTTTGAGCCACAGAAGTGAGAAATGCATGCAGTGAGGAAGTATTACAGAGACAAATCCAAATTCAAACCACCTGAAAGGTCATACGGTAGCCAGTATTTTATCCACTGTTAGTACATCCTGTGAATCTCCAAACAACATGTGAATCTGGATAAGGCCAACATTTACAGGACAAGTGAGAGAGGCTGCTAGATGCAGACCTAGGGCGATTTCTAAAGAAATGATGATAGCATGGCCAAGTGAACAGTCCCAGCGTTGTGCAAGTATATGCCTGACTCTCCTAGGTGCATTGCTGTAGAAAAGAATGCAAAATAATATTGGATGTAACTAAATCTGAGCATGTGAAGTGTATTACTGGAACCCACATACTTGATACTGCAGCTCAACCTCTCCCTCTAAACATTATATTTTAACAGTAACCTGTATCAATGCCTTTAAAAAAACCCAGCCAAACAAACAACAAAAACTTCATTCTGCGCATGGTATTTGCAAAGTCACCTTTCCCTTCTCTTCTGTTACTTGTGATCTTTCTGCTCTCTAGCATTGTCCCATTTGCCACAATATTGTACTGAAAGTTTATGTTATTTGAAGATATGTAAGGGCTAGAAGGACAGACAGGAGGGCCTTGTTTTCTAAGGCCAACCTCCTTGTGGGCAATGTTTAGGTATATGATTGTAAAGTTAATTACAAACACATTTTATTTGCATAGGCCAAGTTTACGAATAACCAGAGAGCTCTGACAGCCACCCCCTCCAAGTCAGTGTTCAAACACTTGCTGCAAAGAACAAGTTTGTCTTTGTCTTTAACAGAATCCTACACACGACATACAATCTTCCAGGCATATACACCAAAAAAAATATTTTATATATGGGTTGTAATTTTAAGCTTTTAAGTTACAGCACAGTTATGTTCAAACTACAGCAGTTAATTTATGCACACTTGAAACTTTGCAAAAATTTCCCTTGCACAAAGTTTGTTGCATCCTGACTTCATATTCCATTATCAAAAGAGTTTGACCTTTAATCCAGAGTCCTACTTTGCAAGGTTTTTATATATGCTTGCCATCTGCATGTCAGTGTTTGACATGCTCAGTTTAATATGCTTCTATGTTTATATGCAATATTTGTGCATTAGATCAAGGAAGCTTAAGACTTTGCAAGTTCAGGCTGAAATTCCGCATGATGAACTAAGACAGTGCTTGCAGAAGAGGTACACAACTGTCTGTTTCCACATTTAATGCCACACTAGCTGCACAAGTTTGCCAGCCTTAAAATTCAGATGGCGTGATGCTGCAGGATTCCCCTTTGCAGTTTTGGGTAATCGTTTCTTGGGGCCAGCCAAGAAGACCACATGCTAAGAAATCCTAGGCACCCCCCTGTCACAAATAAAGTATATTTCGGTCCTATTACTTCCTTTCTGCGTTATGTAGAGTACAGTAAGTCTCTAATATGGCTCCAGGGAAAGTTAACAATTCCCTGTCTGACAGTGTCAAAAAGAGTTTCGTAAGAGCCCAGCCCTAGGAACTCTGAATGTACATCTGCAGGAAACAAGATGATTTAATGACGGAAATTAATGCAAACCAAGGTCTATTCTGATCATCAAGTGGCCCTGTGGTGTTTTACTGGCCTCTGGAGCACACCAGGTTCCTCGGTGTTTACTCAGTTTTGTCCTGTACATTTTTTTTAAAGAACAAATAACAAGACTTGCAAACTGAACAATCTGAAATGTTTTTACAAGTTTAACAGTGTTTCTGGGGATATGAATTTCACAGCTATTTTGCAAGCTCCCTTGAAAGGGCAGTAGGAGATACGGAACCTTGAGGCCGAAAGGTCCAATTAACAGACCAGTTGAGCCATTTAAAGCTAATAAATTAGTACTACGCTTTTCTATTGTTTAGCTACAAAAGAAAAGTGAACCAGGCTTACCTGGTGGGAGAGCAGTGTCTCTTGTTTTGTTCTCTATTCCTTTCCTAATTATGCCTAAAATTTGATTTGCCTTATTTTATTACTTTTTTTTTTAATTTCTCTTCTAGCCACTGCTCAAGAACCAAGCTATTCACAAAACTATCATACGACCAAGATCTTGCTCCAGAATTGTAATGATCAATTCAAAGCACATCTTCTCTATGAAGCCAATTGTTTTCTTCCTCAGCTCACATATTCACCACCTTACATTAACCTACATGCTCTGTTCGTTGCTCCCAGAGCTAAGTAAACACAAATACATACAGAGTTGATGTGGAACACTCCGTGGAGCACTGCATTTTGTATGTGATACAAACCATACAGAACTCCTTCAAGGTAGACGGGTATTCCTGAACAACTTGGCCAAAAGAGGCAGGCAAAAGTTGCACTGTAACTGCTTTCCTATATGCTAAACTATTTATATGGCTTACTGTTCATACAAATGGAAGGTTTTCATATAAACTTAATGAATGTGATGTTCAAGGCCTTGGCACTTGAACAACAGTAAGTGCAGCAAAGGACCATGGGAGATGCTGGAATCCCTTCAGCAAAAAAATATTAATTAGAAGTGAAATCCCGCAAGTTGTTTTGCTAACAAGAGCCTAGGGCAGTAGGAATTATTACCAATTAGTGGATAATAGGAATATCATAATGCTCATAGTCATTTATGAATACAAAGTAAGTATTAAGGGCATCAACAGAGGAGATTTGTGACTTAATGACAGAATGAGACATGCAGATGAGCCCTTAGAACACTGCAAGTAAACTGCTGCAAAACTAAGAGTCTACCTCTTCGCACACAATGCAAGTTGCCAAAATGAACTGATAACAACTGAAAACCTCTTTGCTTCAATTCCTTGTCTTCATGATAGCCGACTGCCATCTCTGATTGCAAGAAAGAAAGCACAGAACAATGGCAAAGAACACTTTCAGTGTTGTTTTCAGACCACTGAACAGTAGTATTACACTCAAGTGTAATAAAAAAAGTCAAAGGGCAGTGAGAATTTCTTCAGAAGTAATTAATAGATATGTTTGCTCTGAAGCAGAGGAAGCTGTTACCCAACATTTAAGTTTGTTAAGAATAGATAAGGCCTTTTTTGAACCAGCTGTTTGAAGTGTGCGTTTATCACTAAGCTATAAACATGTTCCTGGAAATCATATTGGGCTTTGGGACCTTTCTGTTAGAACTTTATGGGTAGAAAGGAAAAGGATTTTGTTTGCAAATACATCAGGGGGAGTTGAATTTGTGAACAATGGAGAGAATCTGGCATGAGGAGAGAAGGAACTGACAGTTTTCACTTTGCACTTTGGCCTAAAAGGGAACTTGGAGCAAAGGGATGCTCTTAGCTGGTTTCTGTCTTTAGAAAACAGATGATCCCAGAATATAAAGCCACAAAAACTGTTTTCCTCAGAAGCTGGTAAGTACCTCCAGCAGTACAGTGGTAGATTGTGCTAAGCTACATGTCCATCCTGGGCAACAGAGTGTACCTGCAGTATCTAAAAGCAAAATCTTAGGGCACCATGGGTCACTACTTTTTTGTCAAGACTCAGTACAGTAAAAGTAAAATATATAGCCAACTCTGAAACTCTGTAATTTACCCAAATTAAGTCTGGGGCAATGAAAACATGTACCAAATGTCTCTCAAACTTTAGGGGAAAGGAGATGCAAGTCAGAGACGAGCATAACAGGAAAAAGAATTTCAGTAAATCACATTATCAGATAGGCTTTGTATTAGAAGTTAAGAGAAAAGTCCTGGCCCGTACACAAATGCTAAGGAAATATGGTACAGTGTGAAGAAGCAGCACTAGCTAGAATGAGTCTGCCTTTGGAGTCACAGCAGAACATTAGTAATTGAAATTAGTTTTGAGGAGTAAGGGGAAGGAAGACCCAAAGTCCAAAACAAGCTTGCTATATCCCACATCCTCCCACAGAACAGTAATAAAGGAAGGGTCAGTTGTTATTTGCTGATAAGACAGTGTGGAAGAACAGGCATAGGCTTCTTTCTACTTCTTCCTTCAGAATCATGGAAGAAAAAAAAAGAGGAAAAAAAAAACCACTTCTACCACATTCAGAAAAGAGCAGTTGTCTCACTAATGAAGCCCACGTTTTCTGTGGGCCAGTGAAAATATATGG